GTTCCTAATTAGCTGCCTCCAACCAAAAGACCCCAATTTGAAGCCTAATTAGCTGATTGGGCCCACCTGGTGCAATTCTGCTCTTGCAAGGCTAATGTGGGGATCTCAATCATATTCTTTTATATAATACAGTTTATCCATCATGTCGTAACCACAAGAGGCCAAATCTGTGGGTCCAGCCAAGCTGTGGGTGGAGGGAACGTGGCTGGGATCCTGTATTCAGCTGGCTGAGGAGAGTCGTGGCAATTCAGCATCTCTTAGAACAGCTTAAATGTTGGTCTAAGTTGTGCTAGTGGGAACAGTCCAGTAGAGAACATTCTGCTGGCCAGCCATTGCCACCCAGGACCCAGCCTGATGTGTCACTTATGAACAGCGGAGGTTGTAGGGCTAACTATGTTGGGGTCAGCTTTCTGGCTGCATTGCTCCCTGAGCAACAGAAGTAACTAGTTTTAAGTGGGAGAGCTACAGTATGGTCCAAAGTATCATTGGTCATTTTAGAAAGTTGTTTGGTAAACACAAAAGAGCTATGATACGTGGAGATATAATTCTGACAATGCTTTTCAAAGGCCATAATAAAAATGTATGAGAGATTTAAATTATCATCTTATCATCTTAGGTGAACAACTTGGCCTGTTTACAATGAACAGCAATATCATTGGTATGTTACATGGAAGCTTTTAAATAAACTACAATAAACAAATAAAAAGGCAAAAACAAGATGTTTCCAGCTTGCTGATTTGTCAGTAATAATCTTAATGATTTTGTAAGTAAAAGAATCTTTAGAAAAGGAAGTTTGTACAGAATATAAAATATGTGAATAATAGAAACCTACAAAAATAAACATGAGTGAGAGCTGAAGGACATCCTTTGTATAAATTGGAGAAACACCTGGCTAATAAATAAAAGAGCTTTTAACATGATTTATGTGCATTATCACAAATATTAAAACTTTTTTTCCACACTGTTTTGTTTAAAAATATAATTTTAGCTTTTTGGACAGTAATTGTTGTTTTTCACCAGCTGAAATCTTCTACAATTTTTTAAACAGTGGGTGCAGATTGAAACTGTTAATGTTTGTATGAAATAAATGGTATGAAAACACTTCAAAAAACTGTACCTGGATTTTTTTTGTATCATTTATTGAGTAGCAACCCCTCTGCTCCCCCAAGCGAAAAACTAGTTTTCTAATTATGGAATGTAAATAATCACTGAAGGGCCTTAATATAATTTTATTCTGAAAGTGAATTAATAACTATGAGCTACTTTTTCCTTTAAAGCTGGAGATGAAAACAAAAATAATGGAAGCTAAATTTCATGAAGAAAAGCTTAAATTACAGCAGAAGCATGATGCTGATGTTCAGAAGGTAAGAAATGTTTGGATGTTACTTTTGAGGGATGTGCGGTACATGAATCTGTATAATATTGAATATGATCCTAATAAATAATTCAGAGCTGAATTTAGTTTCTTTAGCTTTTTCAGATTAACATTCATTTTGCTTTAAAATAAGATTTTGTTGTTTGTTGCAGTTTGCAAAAATTGATTTGAAAGGGAGATCTCCAATATTGGCATAAACTTGGAAAAGGAAAATGTTTCTGTGAAAAGTTATTTAATGTGCTACGTGATGATATTGCAGATATGGGTGTTTGAAGAAAAAATGTTTGCTTCACAACCCAGCAACTTCTGTGGCTTCATCTGATGGTGAAACTGTAAACCTGTGATTTTTGTCATTAACTAAGACCATCATCTGATTATTTTTCTTGAAACTCCAGCTTTAACTCTAGGATTCTGTTTGTAAATTTGTATTCCTTGGCTTTTATTAGTTTTAGTGTAAAGTTCAGTGCCACTTAAACATTTTCTTTTTATTTTAATTGTTTAAATGAGTCTACCAAATGCATTTTCTTATCAGTATGGTAACAGTACTTGGTTCTACTATTTTATTTTTTGACACTGTGCTTGAAAAAGTAGGCTGTTTTAATAAATAGATTTGCAAACTGTTGAACACTTACAATTCAGTTTAACTTAGTTTATCAAACTGTTATTTTACTTTTGATTCTGCACAGTAATAAAATATCACTTCAGAATGGTTACTTTGGGCTATGTAGGATTTCTTCTGACTGTGTTGCAAAGCATCACTTTGCAAATGATTAAAAAGACTGTCACCGCCTATATTATTTATCGTATCATGTTTTTTATCGTGTTTTTACATAAGGTCACATCCTCTGAGGTACTAAGTGCTTCTTCCAAGGTGCTGATTGTCCTTAATTCCCATGGAGTTACTGGGAGTTGAGTGCTCAATACCTCACAGGATGAGGTTCATGGGGCCTTAACCTAATTTAGGCTTTACTGAGTGTCTCAGTTTTGTTTTTCAAAACTGAGTCACAGACTTGGAGGAAGTCAGTTGACACAACACTATGACACATCAAAGACTCCCATAAAGGATGTTAATATTTGGTCAGGTGCATATTTGACTCATCTGTTCTGAAAGCTTGTAAGTGTAACTGGCTAGTGAAGTTCAGAGTCTAAAGGAAACAGCTTTGTAAGAATAAGAAATAGTTGAGATGCCTTCTCATCTCCTTAGTTGTTGTTTTTTTTTCAAACTGCTGTCAAGATTCCATCTTTTGAAGTTGTTTTATCATGTTGGGTATGTTTTAGAAGAAGTTAAATAGTGTTGCATTAATCCTTTAATCACAAGACCATGTAATGTAGGTGAGAGTAACATTCTGTTTTGGGGTGGCAGCGTTCTGCTTGATGTGAGTTTTTAGAATTACTATAAATTAACGTTAAAACATTTTAAACATAAATGTTAAGTTTAACATTCAGTTTATAATATTCATTAAAATAGTGTCTTAAACTGCAGCCAGAAGCATAACAACTTACATAAATGTACATCTTTTTATTTTAATATTCAGATTAGACAATACTATCAATTTAGTTTGTCTGTACAATTTCAGTGGTAAGTATATTTTTATAAATACAGAGGTGTTTGCATTTTTATAAATACAAATACTTATATAGGATTGTCTTTTGCTGTCAACATAGCAAGACAACTTATGTTGATTAAATCTTTTTTATGAGAATGTGGAAAGAAAAAAGAGTAAAATATTTTTTAAAAGATAATCTTGATGGTTTAAGGAAAGGAAGGAAGTCCAGATGAGAGGCTTCCATATCCCTACATATCTGTGGCTTTCCTTCTGTGGCTTGCCTCCAACAGTAGTGCTCTTTTGGGATGGCCAGATTCATTCAGTGGAGGGAGGGAAGAAGGTTGAGATACCAGTACAAGGAGTTGGTAGGGGTAAAGATCAGCAAAGGTGGGAAATTAGCAAATTATGCTAATGAGTCTGATAGGATCAAAGTACTTGACTGGACAGAGAGAACTGGTGATTTTCTGGAGAAAGAGAGTATGGAGATATAATGTTTATGTATAACCAAAGAGTGGTTATGGACAATGAAGATAGACAAAAAGTTGTCTTGCCTTTGGATTGTAGATTCCATTGTACATAGAACACATAGTAAATCTCCATTATAGAGTACTGTCTTTGGCTTGAAAGACCCACAAAACATAGTAAAGGAATTGCAAGCAAATATATAAATGGTTTCAGAGGTAAGGTAATGGGGAGAGGGAGTTTTTAATGAGATATTAAGGGTACAGGCAGATGTATTGATATACTATTAAAAGTGTCAGACATGGAGAGGAAGTTGGAGTGGGTCATCAATGCGCACCCTATATCCCCATAGAGAATGTAGTACTACCAAAAAACAGGGTAAGGACCGAAAATACTGTCCTTGCTTTTACTTTTGGAATAGCCAATTATATATTTTTGAGTGACACCGCAGGGTCACTTGGTAAGATGTCTTACAGTATTTTAAAAGAAAAGAAAAAAATTGTTTACTCGCTGAATGCCGAAGTGTTAATTCATTTATAAAGAAAACGTTGCATCTTACATTTTCTTCCGTGTGTTTGTGTTCTTTGGTGGGATCCCATAGGGATTAATTGAGCATTTATCAATAAAATGTATGTTCACATTCTTGGATTGTCTTCAAAACTGTTAAATTTACTGTTACACCATTATTATATTGTGTTGGGGCTGAAACAAAAATGCGGGGTCTAGTGGTTGGAGCAGTAGTCAGAGTTGGGGAGTCAATCCAAGGGTCGAAGCCAGAATTGGGAGTCGAGCTAAAGGTTGTATCCAGAGTCAGAGAATCAAGCCAAGAAATTGAAGTGTCAAGCCAAGTGTCAGAGCCAGATTCAGAGACTGGAGACAAGAATCAAGAACAGGACAGGATGGCAGGAACAGGTCCTGGAAGCAGGAACCAGGGGCAAGGTTGGAAAGCAGGGTTGAGGAGTCAGGCAAGAAGGCGGGGTTCAGGGTAGCAGCCCGGTAGAACCCAGTTACGTGGACAACTTCCTCCTCGGATTTAAATAGGAAGCCCTGACCAATCAAAACTTAGTGTGTTCCTCCAGTCAGGCCCAGGGAAACTCTCTCTGTTGTAACTTCAGGTTTCGTGGTCTCTTCTGCTCAGTTGGTTAGTAGTGAGCCACTGGGTGGGAGCAGGTAGGTGACAGTCAGTTGGGAACCCTGTGGACCAAGGTTCAAGACCTGTGGAATCGTGATGCTCTTGATGCCTTGTGAAGATCATTCTTTTTCAGAATCAGTTCTTTGTCTGTGTAACATTTTCTCTTCACCTTTTCTTTGTTTATAAGGACATTTACACTAAAATAGTATTTTTGTTGCTGAGAAGTTCATCTCCTGCTGTTGCCTGCTTGCCATCTGAATTCATCCTCTGTTTATAACCATTGCAGTTAGTTACTGTGGAAATGATAATTTCACACTTTTCATTACTTCCATGAGGCCAAAGCATCTCTTGACTACTACTCTTTTATAGATACAAAACCCTTCCACTGTTATATATCCACATATATGATATCTTTCTTTGGTTGTGGGTTATATTTTTCTTTTCAATCACAGGTTTGTTAAAGTGTTGTGAATTTCTACTACAGATTTTGGATAGAAAGAATAATGAAACTGAGGTATTGAAGACCCTCTACAAAACTAAACAGAATGAAGCTGAGGAGACTATTAGGAAGCTAGAGAAGAAAGGTGATACTACGAGAGAACTTTTTTTGCTTTCTATTTTTGTGTGGTGGTACTATATACATGAATGACTAAGGGCCACATTTTACCTTTAGGTGCATATGTTCAACTCCTGTTGAATTTCAGTAGGAGTTGTGCGCATAAATTTGCGGGCAAAGATTGGCCGTAATTTTTCATTTGACTAGGATGCTCATTTGCTTCCCTTTGCGCTCCATTTTCCATACTACATTTTTCAAGAGACAGAGTGTTCTTGTTAGGTTTAGTACTTACTGGTTTTTGAGGGGCCTAAAATACTACATAAACAGTGTTTCTTGTGATAGAAATACTTTGAGATCTCAAATCCCAATCAGAAGTAGAAAGTTTAGTGGCACATGAATTCTAAAACTAATTTAAAATAATCAGTTTGGAACCTTGTAACAAGTTCAAGATTAGTTTTAAGCTCTGGGTGGAGAATTGAGCAACTTATTTATTCAGTGTATTTAGTCCAGCCCTACTTTATGGTTTATTTAAATCTTTATTTCAAGAATTTTGAAAAGTGACTAGTGATTTTGAATGCCTCAATATTTGGGAGCCCAATGTGACATATCTTTAAGGGGCCTGATTTTCAGAGGGTAGATGCCCAGCTTCTTTTGAAAATTAGGATCTTTTCAGGTGCTTTAGTTGGGCACTCAAAATCACTAGTCACTTTTCAAAATTCTTAGAGAATTGCATGTAAACTACTATTGTTTTTCTGCTGTTCTGGTACATTTAAGAAAAATTGGCAGCGCATAAAATCTTGATGCAAAGTATTTAGAGTTGCAATGTTTTTATATTTTCTTTAGGTTCTTAATTTTCTTATGTTACATACTTACTGAAGGTTTTACAGAATTCTGTATATTAATGTTTTCACAGAGAGAGAAAAAAAGTCACCAGGAAATATTTTATAAGTAAACAAAACCACAGTGGAAAGAGAACATCCCATATTTGTTTAAATATCCAGTTTTATGGCATGGAATTTAATGTTACATTTGTAAGGAAGTTATCACACAAACAAAATAATTTTTTAAAGCACAAAAATATCAGAAAGTGATATCAGAAAGGAAGACTGGAGTTATCTGATTGCATTTGTTGCCAATATTGGAAGAAGACATCTCTTGAATTGGTTTATTTTCTTATTTTTTTTGACAGTTCAGACCCTTGTTCGTGAGTCACAAGTTATCAGAGAGACTAAGGAAAAGCAGATTATGGAGTTAAAGAAGTTGTGTGAACAAAGCACAGATTCTTTGAACAATGACTGGGAGAAAAGGGTAATGGATAACACTTTATTTGCTTTAAGTCTGAAGTTTTCATTCAGTAGAAATGTAGAAAGATCAAATGTACAATTCATCATATTGATAATGATTAATTTTAAAAAATTAAAAGGGACACATGCTACATCTGAAATTATTTTTCTGTATTCTCTGTGCTCACTTTTAGAGTAACGCTGCCAGTTTTTCTTAATATATTTTTCACCTAAAATAGATCTTTGTAAATTTGACCTACTACAAAATGTTGCCATTTTAATTTGTATCCACTACCATCACTACACCTAGTCCTCCAAAATATACGAGCAAATCCCAGTCTTTCTTTGGAGGCTATCTGCAAGCCCTGTCTTTTCCTTTTGACAAACCCATTTGCCTGGTTATACAAGGAAGGTGTCCTGTTGCATTCTTCTGGTGACAGTTTACCTGATGTGGATTTTTTATCTGTTGAACTGTGGCTGCCCACAGCCACAATGACTCTTTTGAACAGCTATTTGTGCAGGGACACTTAAATTGTTCAATAAAAGTTTTATTTACTTTTAGGCTTAAGGCATCATCAATGTGTGCTGAGACAGATGTATCACAGTACAGCTCCAGCCTTGCCACAATATTGTTGAGACAGTGTGCTGTTAACCCACTGGAGAGGGAGGAAGGTCGCCCCAAAGTCAAGGTGCCTCCCTTCCCAGAGAGGATGTGGTTAATTTTATGTCTTGGCAACTGGACTTATGAGCCAAAGGCCTTGTTAGTTTTTCTTCTTGCTTTGGAAGAGAACTTGCTCATACATTTTGTTTTTCCCAATAGCAAAGAACCTGAAGCAAGAATGCTCAATGTTTTGTTTCTTACAAAAACAGTATTTTGACCCCGAGTTCATCATACTTGCTCTGCATGGACAGTTAACTAGCAAGTGCTATGCCCAAAGCTGCCATTGTCATCAATGATACAAGTACACAAACAAGGATGCAAACAAAAATGCTATGTTAATTTTAAATCCACTAAAAACACAGGAGTGGTGTAAAGGCACCATTTACCCCTTGGGGAAAAAAGTGATAGTCCAGTGTTCCAAGACAATACAATAAAGATGGATAGGTAGAATATTTTTATAGTGTACATGAAAGTTATTTCATTTTGTCCTTCTCAAGTCCTTTTTTTCCTTTGAATAGACGTTAACCTTTGCAAACTCACATCATTACTGTCCTTTGTTGTATAAGGAGCCAAGTTGTTGACAGGAGACTCAGCATATTTTGCTGATGTAGTGTTGTAGAACAAACTAGAGGCTGTTTCCAGCATGATTTAGAGTAAAAAAAACATGTTGCTTCGTGTAACATTTACTTTAAAAAAATGTAATCAGGTGTTCTCTGATTTTGTGCTTACTGAAAAGGCCTTTTTTTCATCTGTCCCAAATTTTTAATAAAGAAGACCTAGATAGCCATAAAATAAAGTTCTTTTTCTCCTGATAGTAAATATTGAGCCAATGATAAAATCGTGTTAGTTGCTTTCATTGTGTGAAGTTCCATGCATCGTTTGGGTAAGAAGTAACTGCTACAAGGACAGGTTTCAAAGTAGCAGCCGTGTTAGTCTGTATCCGCAAAAAGAACAGGAGTATTTGTGGCACCTTAGAGACTAACAAATTTATTTCAGCATAAGCTTTCGTGGGCTACAGCTCACTTCTTCAGATGCATAGAGTGAAACACACAGACAGAAGATACTGTCCTATAATGGGTATCCATTAATTTTTTTTAACTTTGGTGGTCATTTTAATATTCCTGCGTGTAAGGATTGGTACTTTTTAATTTCTACTTTCAGATTATTTTTAAAAGCATGCTAACGACAATTGAGTTTCTTGCAATTGAAAAATAGATTCATTTTTCCAGCACTGACTTTCCCCCTCTATACAGTTTTAATATTTTCATTCTGACAGTTCTGGGGACTTACATTGTCCCTGTTCACAGTAGACTTGATGAAGAGGTGGTCCTGAAGAATATCATCACTGCATAAATTTGCATAAAAATCATAAGATCAGCATTTCCAGTATGTTTCAGGCACCTGACAAGGAGACTGACCACTGCTGTGGTGTTTTTATTTAAAAAATAAATATGTATAAATTAATATGGTTTTAACAGATTTCAAAGTGTCATTACCCACATTTTTGTGACATTGCATGTTCTTTAGGTCATTATCGTGAGTTAAATGGGCATGTTTGAAACCTGAGCAACACACTGTAATGGTTCATACCATCAATCTGCCAGACAGGATCTGGCCAGTTTGACATAAAATTATTGCCAAGGTGCCTTGTTAATCAATTTAGATTTGAAGGTCCAAATTTTTAAATATATTTAGGTGCTTAGGAGGCTAAATCCTATTGAAGCCCTTTTTAAGATGAGATTTTTGCTTTTAAATCAGTTAGGTGTTGCAATGCTGATGCAGCAACTCCTTAATACCTCTACAAATCTGGGGGCTCTAGCTCTTAACCCAGAAATGTATGCACTTAGTGTTAAAATGGAAGTACACCTCACTCTGATATAACGCTGTCCTCGGGAACCAAAAAATCTTACCGCGTTATAGGTGAAACCGTGTTATATTGAACTTGCTTTGATCTGTCGGAGCACGCAGCCCTCCCCCCCTCCCCCGGAGCGCTGCTTTACTGTGTTATACCCGAATTCGTGTTATATCGGGTCGCGTTATATTGGGGTGGAGGTGTAATGTGTTGGGCGGTATAGTGTGGTAGCTCAGACTGGCGTCACAGATAACACTCTCTAATTCAGGTAAGTGGATAGTTTTGTTTCCAGGGTCCCCAGTCTCCTACATTTTGAGACGTACTGTTAGAAGAAGGAAAGAGCAAATTATTTGTATAGTAGAAAATTTACAAAGTTTGTACAAAGTAAGTGGTTCAATTTCAATATTAAAATGAATACAAGATCAACAAAATTAATGGCAAAAACTACAAATATATTTTCAATGTTCTGTAAAAGGTAAATATAAATTGGTTGGTGTATTCATATTTAAGATTCTTTCCTTTTTAGTTCTGTAGCAGTGATACAGAAAATCTTATCATGTATTAATAAGGGGGGAAATGATAAGGTTTTTATTCTAAAGGTCAGAAAAGTCAGCTGTACAGTTTTATAAGTCACTCAATAGCCTGGTGATATTTTTTTTAAATATAGCTCCATAATGCTGTGGCAGAAATGGAAAAGGAAAAATTTGATCTTCAGAAGAAACACACAGAAAATATCCAAGAACTGCTTGAGGACACAAATGCACGTCTTAGTAAAATGGAGACAGAGTACTTGGCACAGACAAAGGCAACTGTAAGTTTTTTATATCCAGATCATGACCACAAATATGAATTGCAATGTTCAGGTTTTGTGCACCTGTGCATTTTGGAATGCTTATTTTTCTTAAGACATAGTGTATCAGAAAGTATTGGGGAAAAAGTTCAGATAAGAATTATTTTTATTTTGTCCCTCCACAAAAGTGTGCATAAAGACTGTGGGGCTGAAAAACATTTTTGACAGACTTACACTACCATGCTACAATGCTATGACATTGCTTCATCAAAGAGATAGTAGAAGTAACACTATTTCATTTCAAATGTCTAGGCAGTTATTTTTTTCAACAGAGTCAGATTAGAAATGATTGAATCTCACTTCCCTGCTTCTTTTAACAAAAGTAAAATTGTGAATTCTAGGGTTTCTGAAAGGTGCTGGACTGGTAGCACTGGAAGCTAAAATCCAGTGCAATGTGGACAGTTCCAATGCAAAATTCTTCAGACTTAACCATTAATATGCCTTTGATCTGGAGGGAGGATAATCTTTAGGAATGAAGATGATTCAGTCTCCATCTTTATTTAGTCCTTGGTTTATCTGCTGAGACTAATAACAACTGTATTTTTTGGGATGGAGGTTGTTAATTGAAGTTACTCATTGATAAGGAATATGACTGAGAGCGCCCTTTCATTACAGTAGGCAACCAACTTTCTTTTCTTTAACTGGAAAAAAAGACTGAGTACATACTGTAAATGCTTTATGAAAATGTTTCCTATTATTAATTTTACTTTCTCACCATTCCTCCTTCTAGCTACTGCTTTTCCCTATTCATGAAGCTGAACTTTTCCTCTTATTTTCCAGTTCTATTGGTTTACGCCAAAATAAGGTGGTTGACACTTTGTCTATGAAAGTCTTGAGAGTTATCATTTTGCTCAACTACTCCTGTTGTCATATAAGCATAACCATAATCTATTGTTGTTTGATAATGCTTAATGTGTCCAAGTCATTTTATTAGTGCTTTATGTCAGGGATTTTGTATGTGTGGTCCTTAAGAGTGTTTTTAAGAATTACTCCACTAGAACAAACAAATATTAAATGAAAAGCTTCTATTTTGACATTACCTATTTTTTTCAGTTAGCATAATGAGTCCATATAATGCAGAGAGTATAGAAATAGCAGGATCCTTTTTCAGGATACATCTTTTAAGGGTAGGTATTCCAGAAGTCATCACACATCTCCCTGTAATTGCTCATCTTTAGAGATCCACCATCACAGTTATAATCTTTTCAATGTAAAGCCTGGGCGAAACTCACTGAAATCCATTAATGCAGCTACCTCATGAATATGCTAAGAGATGTAAGTGGGTACTTTTAAGGGCATGTCTACACTACAAAGTTAAGTCGACTTAATTTAAGTTGACATTCAGCCGCTGCAGTAATTAAGTCAGTTGAGTGTGTCCACACCCCACACATTGTGTTGGTGGAGTGCATCCTCATTAGCGGTGCTTGCATTGATGCCCAGAGCATTACACTGTAGGTAGCTATTCCACAGTTCAACTAGCCACATGGGGTTTTGGGATGGGTTTGCAATGCCGCATGAGACCAAAACGTTGTCATGGGGAGAGGATGGGACCATGGCTTCAACCTCCCATGATGCAGTTTCCTCCCTTCCTCTCTCCCATATGATATCAATGGCAAACAACCCATGTTTCTTCACGCCTTTTTTTGAAAGTCTGGCTTAGGCACATGTATGTCATAGCCTTAGAAGCATGGACCTCGCTCAGCTGTGCACTCTTGTGAGCATTACAAACACCTTAACCTGCAGCGTTTCCAGAGCCGAGACAGGAGCTGCCGCACAGAACATAGAGATGTTATTCAAGCAGCCCTGATGCAAGCCATAGAACAAAACAGTGCCTGGTTGCTGCTGACAGCTGTGCAGCAGCTGAACATGGTGAAGCACCATTTCTGGTCCCAGGAAACAAGCACTGACTGGTGCGATCTCATGGTTATGCAGCTATGGGATAATGAGCAGTGGCTGCTGAACTTTCGAATGCGGAAGGGCACTTTCCAGGAACTTGGTGCAGTGCTTTCCCCAGTCCTGAAGCACAGCAGCACTAAAATGAGACCTGCTCTAACAGTGGAGAAGCAACGTTCAGGACATAGTGGATGGTTTTGCTGCGATGGGGTGCCCTAACTGCGGTGGGACAATAGATGGCACGCATATCCCTATCTTGGCACCAGAGCACCTTGCCAAAGAGTACATAAACCAAAAGGGATATTTTTCAGTGGTGTTGCAAGCACTGGTGAATCACAGGGGGCCTTTCACTGACATCAGCATGGCATGGTCAGGAAAGGTGCATGAGGCACACATTTTTAGGAACATAGATCGGTTCAGAAAGCTGCAATCAGGGACTTTATTTCCAGATTGCAAAATAACCATTGATGATGTTAAAATGCCAATAGTGATGCTGGGAGATCCAGCCTGCCTCTTGCCCCCATGGCTCATGAAGCTGTACACCAGCCACCTGGACAGCAGTAAGGAGCGGTTCAACAATAGGCTGAGCAAGTACAGAATGGTGGGGGAATATGACTTTGGACATTTAAAGGGTCACTGACACAGTTTGCTTAGTAGACCTGGAAGCAATATCCCCATTGCTATCGCTACCTGCTGTGTGCTCCATAATAACTATGAGGCAACGGGAGAGAAGTTTCTGCATGGGTGGGGCGTGGAAGTGGATAGGCTGGCAGCTAATTTTGAGTAGCCAAATACCAGGGCACTAAGAAAGCCCTGCATCTCCGGGAGGCTTTGAAACCCGTTCCAGTAATGAGCCACAGTAATGTTTGCTGCTTATCTGCGTTGTGCCTTCCCATACCATTCCCTCCATTGCATCAGTTTTCCTGTACCTCCCTGCTCCCCTCCCCCAACCTGAATGCTAGGAATAAATAAAGAGTATTTCATTATTGAAAATTTGGCTTTTATTGCACAAACCTAAAAAAAAAAGAACAGGAAAATTATTTAACCTTGGGCAAACAGAGTGATAAAATTGGGAGGGGAGAAACCAGGTCAGCTTGTCTGTGAAAGCACAGAAGTCTTGCCCATCAAAGGTCTTTGAATGGCCACCTTTTGTTCTTAGTACCCTCCCCCACTGCTTCCTGGAATGTTTGGGGGAGGGGGATTGGGACCAGGTCAATATTTGCAGGCCATTGTGCAGGGGTTGCAGAGGGAGTGTAGCCTCAAGCTGTTATTCTTGTAGCTCAAGCAGACGCCTCAACATGTCTGGTCCTTCATAATCCACAGCATCTCATCCTGCGTGGCACACTCATGCTCCTGGGATGCTCTCCACATCCAGTTTTTCAGACCATTAAATCCTGTAGGCTCTGAGCTCTGTATCAGCTGTCCTGGAGGTGTTCGTTACCTCATTGAACATGTCATCATGCATTCTCCTTTTCCATCTTCTAATCTGGGAAAGCCTCTCCGCTGGTGTGGAGAATGTTCTGAAGGCCCAGTGGTATGGGCGATGAGTCTTGTGCTGCAACTTGTGGGAACCCTTGTTGGGAGTGCAGGTGGACAATTCCATCTCCCCTCAGCAACATAGATGTTGCTTTGAGACCAGGGACCAACGTTAAGCCTCCCAAATTGTGGTCTTTGTCCAAGGCGGCTCTTGGAGTTGGGGGTTATGGCCACAAGAGAACACAGGAAGCCCACCCCTCTTTCCATTAATGCTGCTGGTAGCAGTCACCCTAGGCTTTCAGATTCCGAGATCAACGCCTGTTCCTGCCACCCGAACCTCTGGCATGTTAGGGAAACTGTGGTTGAGGGGCCCGGAAATCACCATGGTTGGGGGATCACATGCTCTATCGTTTGCGGTACAAGCACTTGTAATGGAAACGTCCCCCGTCTTCTCAGGTGACCCTATGTGTAATGGAGGAGGCAAGGGAGCAGATGTTGCAACCATGTGGGTACAGACCTGGTTCTTATGCTGCTATGTTGTGTACTGCACTGATGCCAGCAGATTTAATACTGGAGTGGCATGGGAAAGTGTTCTACCGTGCTGGAAGAAATAACGCAATCCTCCCCAGAAACCTTCTGCAAAGGATTGCTGAGTACCTCCATGAAAAAGTGTCGTGGAGATCTCCATAGAGGATTCCAAGACCATCCCTGTCACATATCAGGGGGCGCCTTCTGCGCAGCTGGAATGGCCACTGGGAAGCAGATACCTACTGCACTTCACTTTTTCTTCATATTAAACATAAAATATAAGAGCATGTAACCCCTATAGTTCGATTGGAATTCAGAAGCAGAATGTTGGTCAGAGAATGTGAAACCAGGACAAGGGAGTCAAACAGGAACTTCCTGAATGGCCCTACCACTAGGTGCTGAAATAGTCACTAGCCTCCCTGCCCCTTCTAAAGCATTTATCCAGTATCATATAAGGCTTATTTTCAATGTGCTGCTGTTTACAAACCGAGTCATCTTCCTAATGTTCATGCTTGGAAACTCCCATAGACAAACATTTCTAGGAAGCTTGAGAATATCTTTCTTCCGCTAGCACATCCCTTGCACCCTTCTCAGCTAAACAACACATTAAAGGATATACTGATGAGCCCTCAGTTTTCACTTCTTGGGAATAGCTCTGTCATTTTTCCTAGTGACATGGAGTTGAACTCCTTCAAATCAGTGAGTTTTTGAGACAGAGAAAAAGGCTATTTCATCCAGTTCCCACTCTGTGCCATCCTCTTTAAAATTCCATTCTCTCATCCATTTATATTGTTCCTTCTCAGTCACCTGGATCAGCAATGTCTATGGAAACTTGTAAAAACATGAATATAGAAAAGTTATAGCTAAGAGCAATTTGCTTGGCTTTCAAGGCTTTCCTTCCTCACTTAATGGAAAAGTGGTCCAAGTGTTCATGAACAGTACCACTGTGACACGTTGCATTTCATCAACAAGGTCGGGGATGTGGTTTATTGTCTTATCCGGAAGCAATTTAACTTCTGAAGAAGCTTGCCACATTTATTGCTGTCCATCATCCAAGGGAGGAC